CTACGGCTTTTCCACACGACTCGTGTGAGAAGCGACACGAGTCATGTGGCCCCACACGACTCGTGTGACCCAGTCGTGTGAGTCTGGAAGTTCGCTGTAATGTTGACAAAAGTCACACGACTCGTGTGGCATGTCACACGACTCGTGTGACGCGCAGACCAGACCTGCGGGGAATAGGATTCTTACGCGTTTTCTTTCCTTTTTCGATCCAGAATTGCCCTACAGTATAAAACAGACCTTAGGAACTCGTTTTTGGGACTTTTGACACCATTGGAGGCCTAGAGAAAGCACGAAACACACGAGGGATTCGAGGAAGTCAAGATTGAAGATTCGGGAACTAACGGCGACAATAGTTCTTCTTTCTTTTCTCTTTTTCTTCTTCATTGAACTCATGGATTTATTTATTTTGAGTTTTGAGAATATGTTTAGTAGCTAAACCTTTTAGATTCTAGGATTTGTTAGTACTCGGATTGATTTATGATTTAGTTTTTATTTCTTTCATTCCGGTTTATCTTTCGTTTATGAATTTCCTGTGCTTATTATTATTGTGTGAGTAGATGGCCACTATGAATGCATATTTGTGATCGATTTGAGACCGAGAGGAGATAATTGATTGCTAGAATTGAGAGATTTATAACGTAAGAGAATAAACAGACCGAGAGGTTGATAGGACCTTGCGAGAGAACGAAAATCCTAGGAACTTATGGGAGTTAGTTGTTCATCTTGAGACCGAGAGGAGATAGATAACAATTACTATCTACGATTTGACTTGTTCGAGAGAAAGGTTTGAAATCAATTTAGCGATTATCTCTACGATTGGTAAAATTAAATAAGGTTTGTTTGAATATAAACGTTTCATTAATTAATTCCGAGGAACGCTTAGCCTAGAATCTACCTTTTGTTTCTTTGTTTATTTTATTTTTATTTTTAGTTAGATTAGTTTTTAGTTTAATTTTCTTAGTTAATAATCATCATCCAATTCGTTAGTCTAGATAATATTTAGTCGTCATTATTTTAGTACTTAATTAATTTAACTACAATTTCTGTGGAATACGACCTTGCTTGCCACTACCTATAGCTACTCCGTACACTTGCGGATAGTGAAAATAATTAGCGAACATCGTCCATGCTGGTACTGGCCTGCTGAAGATGGTAGAACTCATGCTCCATGCGATCCCAAAAACTCTGGGGAAGGAACTTGCCACGAACCATTGCCTTCATCTGCTCCCAAGTGAGAGCATTGAGCTCAGCCTCTGGCCTCCTAGCCCAGTGGTCGACCCACCAGTCAGAAGCATCTGCCTTCATCTGGAAGGCGGCAAGAGCTACTCGCTGCCTATCGGGTAGAGGGAGTACAACGAAGATCTTATCGAGCTACTTCATCCACTCAAGCACAGCAGTGGGGGCCTCACTTCCCGAGAAAGTGGGTGCGTGCATGCCTAGAAACTGGACAATGAGTTGGGGAAAATCCATGGCCGGAGGGGCCTGCTGGTGAGGTGGAGGTGGAGGCGGGGTTTGTTGACGGTTGCGAGCATTGCGATTACGAGTGGCCATGGTTATACATTGAACAAGCCGGAAAAGTTTAACACCCAAAACAAAATTTAAAATTAAAATAGGGAATCTAGAGTTCACCATGAAACACTAGAGTTCAAAATCATTCAATGGTGGATAAACTCCACTCCGGGTTCCCATTGACCGGGTTCTACACGCGCCTAATAGTTCTATCCACAATAGTCACAGACTTCCGAATAATCCACACACCTGGGACTCATTCGGTTGTTTGTTCCCTTTATTTAAGCCTTCTCTTTCGAGATGGCTTACGAATGATTCTCATTCGATGGTACTAAACAAAAACTCATAACGAGTGCACTGCTATAGGCCAAACTTAACTTGATAACGCCAACCCGAAAACTCACAACAAACATCTCTAAAGTCGGCACTTAACCCTACACCACTAGAGTTCAAGTCCGTATAAACGGAGGGTAAATTCCTAAGCCCCAATAAAAGAACAAACCATAATCACGATATCGATAATAATCAAAACAATAAAACTCATACCTTAAGCTGGCGCGGCGTGATGAAGCGAGTGGTCGAATGGTCATTAAACACTAAATCACATATGAACCAGTCTGCAGAAAAGCAAGACTGGCTCTAATACCAAACTGTAACGCCCCGTTTTATTTTAAGGAATTTACCGAATTTATTTAATAAAAAACAGAGTATTTTTTTTTAAATCCAAGTTAAAACATTTATCGAGAAACGGACGCTACTTACTATCCACAACAAACAAATAATAACACCAAATCAATCAATCGATAGAATCTACACATGCTCGAGCTATCGGAATAACAATCTTAATAATCATAAATTTCAAAACCATTCCCAAACGACTAGCATGAAAGCAAGGTTCAAACGAAATTCAACATAGTTCGAAAACGACGAAACAAATAATCCAAAGTGCGATAGCAAATAGATAAATATCAAGTTTATGCGGAAGCATAGGTTTTCAACACATAATGACCACCATCTCGCTCGTCCTACGTCACTGCCTCCAGCTCGTCTCAACCTAGATCAAAGGAAGAGAAAATAATGGGGTGAGCAACCAACAAGCTCACCATTATCGCACAGTTTATCTCGCAATAACATTTTAAACCATCATAACCATAGTATTCATTATGCATAGAATCCAACAGTCTAACTCCCTACTTGGCCCTATCGCAAACTTCCTATGTACATACAACAACCTTCCGATCAAACACGGCAAGGAAGTAACTGGAAAACTTCCCATCACCGAATGGCTACGGGCCTGGGATCCTTTCCAGGAGACAGTAGAGATGTTTTTTCCCATTCACGAATATCATACGGACCTGGGCGTCACCTCTCCGAATCTACGAGCCGATGACCTCTCACTGTTTATGCATTCCTCAAAGGCACTAACATACGGGACACTTAGACTAGGGTTCTCACGCATACATCATTTTTCAAAAGAAGCATTATACGAAATAAATAGTGCGATAAATATGGAATACATCATAAATGTACCCACCTGATTGCAGCAACAGTTCAAATCACAAATCTCGAAATGAGGCGAGGGCAACACCTCTAGACACCTACATAAGTCCAGATACTAAAGTCAACACTTTAATCTAGACCTAAGTAGAAAACTCACAAATTGACTTAGCCGAACTCGAGTCGACCAAGTGGTTCGTGAAGTTCGGTGGATGTTGGAACACTAAGACTCGGCACTAAACTCGACCAAACCACATAAGGGAATTCACAAAAATCCATTCAAGGATTGACCAAGTCAAACTCACATCAAAACGAAAAGCAAGTCGATTTCCGATATAACTACCAAAATTATATTTTGGAAATAATAATCATTAATCGCATAAAAATTGATGATCAGGTTACCCTATGAATCAAGCTCTGAATTTTTACCCAAAATTACATATCACAGAAACATGTAAAACCACAAATTTTCAGCTTCAAACTCGAAATACACTATCTTATAAAATTCGAACAAGACAGGAACATCAATTTATACTTGAACTTAATGAACGAATCAGGACTTGCAAATTTAACACAACAACATACAGCATGCTAAAGTCCATGTATAAAAATCTCAGCCCTGAACATTGACTGCTACTATTTTTAGAAATTCATACGAGATTCAGCAGCTTATCGAATTTGAATCAAAACCGAAACCAAATGGACTCCAAAAATTCCCATCTTTTAAAATCATGATTCAACACAGAAAATAGGCATCTCAGCAAAATTTCAGAATTGTTCACGAAATAACCAATTTATAAAAATTCTAACAACGGTCAGCAGATGTGATAAATAAATTATTAACCACATCAAAACAAGTCCAAAAATTCTGAAAATTTAACACGACATATAAACTTCACAGGGGCATGACATATTCTAATTTCAGCTCATTTGGTTCACGAATGAATTTATTATGCAATTAACACTATTCTGCTCAGATTTCATTTTAATTATTAAAAATATCTACAGATTTCTAAAAATCACGAACATTTTACATAAGGCTGGTAATGAATAGAAAACATCACCCTCAAATTTTCAAGTCATTTGAGCAGCGAGCTATTTTTAAAAATTCAAACACCAAAACAGCGATATATATGCTCGACAACTTATCAATTAATTCATAACATGAAATTTCTCGTCCGAGGCCTTTTCATAAGACCAAGGGCTCGACATTGTTCCAATATCCACCGACTTACACGACTTTCGAGGTCTCGTTCGATTCTTTAGAAAATCGAAGAGGTCCCGAACATACGATAACACATAAAATCATATTGAACACATAATCACACATATTCACAACTAGCAATTCACACATATATTACATTGTTCAACGAGCACTTCACGACAATAAACACATAACGAAATAAATCATATACGAGTTAAGCGAGACGGAAAAATGACGAGATACCGTTCTCGGGAAAAACTCGGAAAACGAAAAGAACACGACGAGGCGACGGAGCTCGACGGCTTCACGCGGCTCGCCGGGGGAAGAGGGCAGTGGCTGCCGGTGAACGTCTGCTCAACGGAAGAGGGGTCGAGGCGTCGCTGCTGCGAGGGTCGCCGGTGGCTGAGCAGGGCGGAGCAGCGGCGGCAAGGGCTGAGGTGGGGCTGCTTGCAGAAGGCCTGCTCGTCGGGACTGCTCGCTGGGGTGGTCTCGCCGGCGGGTCGTGAATGGAGGATGGTTCACGGCAATTTGAGACGCGCGACGGGACGGAGCAGTGGCAGTCGGAATCGCGGTGGCAGGGGTCGCGAAGGAGGACTCGCCGAGATGTTGCTGCACGACGTGGAGGAGGGCTCGCGACTGGAGATGCGGCCTTTTGCTGGTTCACGACGACCTTCGCGGTGGCAGGAGGGACGCCGGAGAAGGATGGTGGCGTGATGATGGGCTGAAGGTGACGACCGGATCTGCTGTGCCGAGAGGATGGCGATTGGTTCTGGCGTGGGAGAGAAAAGAGACGAGAGATTTTGACGACGGGAAGATTTCTTTATCTGCTCTTGCGATCGCGATCGAGATGGGAGAGGAAAGAAAAACAAATTTGATGGCTGCGGGTTTGAGAAGTAAAAGTGAGAGAGAAAGGGGTTGCGGCGTGAAAAAAAGAAAACTGAGATGAAGATATAGGTACAAGATTTGTATATATAGTTGCACAATATAATAAATTAGGTTTGACTATGTCTTGATCCTTAAGACAAATCTTTCACATATACACACGCACGAGATTTGGGAGAGGCGGATTTGGGCTCGCGGCCTGGTCGATTGGGCTGGATCACGACAACGAAATCGGCTCACGGGCTCGATTTCGTTTCACATGGGTATTTTCGGGCTCGATAAAATCGCACGTTAAAATATTCGGCTCTCGGGCCCGATTCAATCACGAAAATAAATCCAGCTCTTGGGCTTGGGTTCTCCGATTACTAATTTCGACAGTTCCAATCGATCGCACGATAAATAAACAAAACTCCAGACAATATAAATTAAATACGTACATTGATTTTAAAATACTAATATTATTAATAAAAATATACAATTGGCAATTAGACATATAATATTTAGACATTCAAATTGGCAAGCAATAATTAATATATCACAATAATAATAATAATAATAATAATAATAATAATAATAATAATAATAATAATATTTCAAACCACAAATTAAAGGGGCATTACACTAATGTCCTATTTATTAAAGTGTTTTTAAAAATATAATTAATTTCATATCTCAAATGTAAAGTGCGTGCGCCTATATCCTGATTGTCACATAGCTTTGCATCACCTTCAAAATAAACACTCGAGATTGATGGTTAACTTGAGTTGTGATTTTGTACCATAGTAAATTAAATCAGGACTTAGGATTTCCACAGAAACTATATTAATTCAACTATTTTTGCATGTTGTATGACAATATTGTAAAATATTGTTGACATGGAAATTCAATTCAAAACAAAAGTTAATAGAAATATAAAACAATTATATATTCTACTATGTAATAAATAGATTGGCATGAGTCGAGTAATAGTTCTAGATTGCCGATCATAGTAATACCTGGTGACGTGTTTTTCTTATATAGTCTTTGCCTTCGCTTGATGTTTCGATTTGTCGATCCACACTGTTTTCTAGCGTTGTTTGTTTCCACTAATTCAATAAAACTTAATATAAGAAAGTAATCTTATATAGGTTTACATCATATAAAAAAAATATAGCTGATTTCTGTATAAATTACCTTGCGCTGGATTTTTTGTAGTTGTAGTTTTCCTGTGCATGATGATGTTCTCTTGCGGTTTCTGTCATTCAAGAGCAAACATCAATAAAGCATGCTTAAATAAAATTAATCAATAACCACAAAAACTTTACCTGTTCCAAAACTCCTATGTATGTGTATGCCTTAGCTGTAAATTTATGTGTATACCTGCTCTCATAGGATATGTGTATACCTTTGTATGTGAATACTTGTATAAATCAGCCGACAACTCAACTGTTTCATGTATTCAGATTTAATATTTTAGGATCTAATTATGATTAAATATTGCAGATTTGGTTGCAGAATGGCAAAAAATTTTTGAAGATCTTTGAAGATTTTTTTATTGTATTTGACAATTATGTACAGAAATTATATTTATTTATTTACTTTCCTTCAGGACAGATTCTTTTTAATTTGACCCGATTATGTACATTGTTAAAATATCTGATGAGCATAATAATCTCGACAAAATTGATTCAGTTTTCTTGGATATGTGAAGTAATTAAATACAAACGGATATGTACTGTAATTAAAAATATATAATATTCCTTTGATTGCCGCAAAATTGGACAAAAGTTGTAACATATGAAGCCGCCACTGTTGACCACGATTCAAATTTTATTTGAGTCTTTTAGTCAAATTTAAAAAACAACCGCCTTTTTTTTTTTTTTGAAAAAATTACAATTAAAAGTAAAAACGAATTATTTTAGCGGTATTTCAGCTGTTTTTTTTTGGTAAATGTCAAACTTTTTTATATTTATATGGATATAAATTATTTGTTTTATATACTGTAAATATACATGATTTGTTTTATATACTGTAAATATATACGATTTGTTTTATATTAGCTTACTTAATATAAACCATGCATATACACAACAACAATGTAACGCTCCGAATCAGAAATAATAACAAGAACGGTTTCACTGTTCGACTATAAGTGAAATCCGTAATTTTCAGAACTTTCCGAATTATATTTTATATGCCAAATGCTCAAATATAATAGATTATTCTTTGAAATTTTGTATTTCAAGTTAAAGTCAAGATCAGTCCATTTATTTGGATTGATAAGGATATTTAGTCGACTTTGGAAATATTCGGTTTCGAACCCTAGTTTCGTTCTGAGTCATTTTTCAAAGTCAATTTTCGAGCATAGCCGAGCCATGGTATTTGATACTTAGAATATTTTTCTAAGTGTCTTGGAGTATCAAAGTTCAAGTCTTGAACATTAGTCTCGAGCCCTAGCACCTTCCCGAACCCTAGCCCCCGCCCACGCCTTTAGTCGCGTCCAAGCATGTGCCACCAAGCCCAAGACCCGAGTCGAGCCATGCCAAATACTTGGTTAAGTGTTTGGATCATCCTTGACATTTTTCTAAGTCCTTGGATCACAAAAAGATGCATTATACTCGGCCCAAGCATCATACACGCAAGCAGCCCACGCCCAGCCGATGCCGCCCAGCAGGCCGCGCCCAGGCCCAGCGGCAGCGCGGCAGGTCCATTTCTTGAGCCCAAATGACAAAGTTTCGGCCCACTTTCACCCAAGACCTCTTCATGCGTGTATTATACACTTAATGAGGATTATTTACAGCTAATATGGCCCTAACAAAGTATTAAGGAAGTCAACTTAGCACTAGCTCAAAGTGGAATGATGGGCAAATGAATATTTTATTCATAAATGCTAATGGATGTCCTCTATGCATGCTCCATCCGGCCAGACCTGCTCCATCAGCCACCATGCTCTGATTTTTCACTCAATTGATCACCAAAAACCGTGCAAGTCCACCCAAGACCTTGACCTCGACCCATGCTCATGTAAAAGTGGAAAAATGCACTACACCATCCCACCTAGCTAACTCCACCCCCTTCACTATTTAAGAACCCTTCCTCAGTCCATTTTAAGCCCTTTGGCACCTTAAAGCTCGAGCACTTAGTGAAAAATCAAGGTAAAAACCGAGAAGGCAACCCAACCCCACCGCGCGCGCGCCACAGCCCGGGAAAGGGAGCCACCGAGGTCCAACCACATGCAGCCATTTTCTCTCAAGGCTTAGCACCTTCTAAGTAATTGTTAGATTTTTCTAAGTCTTTTGAGCTCATCTAGTGCAGTCAATTCCACCCCAAGTCGAGCCTAACTCCCTAGAGCCGTGAACAAGCCCGAGCAAGCCCTAGCAAGCCATTTTTCATTTTAGGTGGAGGTTAGCCCAAACCATCTTTCTCTCATAATTATTTTATGATATTTTAGGATTTTTCATGAAGAAAAATCAAGCCATGCACGTGATTAATCATAAGTTCCAAATTTTTAGATTTAATGGCCTTAAATTTGAGGATTTTAGTTGCATGCATGCCTAAGTCGAGATTGATAGCTTAATCACCCTCATTTATTATGTCATTGATGGTGTAAAAGTTTGAGCATAATTAGAGTTCAATGCCTTGGTCAACTTGTTCATGAAAATGTGTTAATTTGGACCCCCGAGCCTTAGTACTATGCATGCAAGTTATGACCTAAGTCTTAGCCCTCATAGTCATCATTTTTGATGTTAAACATTCGGCCCTGAGTGATTTTATATGTTATGAACGCTGGTTCGGTGATTAAGTGCTCGTGCGTGCCATTTATGCCCTACCGAGCATCATGCCCCTAGTGTTTCTTCGTATTTTTGTGGCTATTTCATCATATTAAGATGTTATGTTATGCATGTCACTGGGAAAAGTCACCGGAGGTCCGGCAAGGGCCGGCCATGGTCACTGGCCGTGCACATAGTGCGGCAGTATACGGCCCCGTGCCTGTCCGTGCCCGCGCCTAGCAGGCGCGAGGTACCGCAGTGATGAAGGATCGCGTGTTCCGACTCGTGACCTTGCCTCGGACGTTGCATGTGCTTTGGCCTTCGGCAAGGGTTGCGGACGATTCGGAGTTTAAAGCCATAAGTAAGAAATGGCGAGAAGAAGCAAGAAAAGATAGATTAACCGGAACTCTAGCACAAGCTAGGTGGTTTGGAAAAATTAACAATTTTCTTAAAGTTTAGTATAGCTATTTATTAATGGTTATATTGTTCAAGTCAAATAGTTAGTGGTTTTAGAATGCCGCGAGGCAAAGTTTCAAGACCACAACTGAGTAAAGTTTAAGAAGCATAGAATCTTGACTAAATCAAGAAGTTATCTCAGTCCAGAAACAAGTAGTATTGATGTGTGAATCAAGTATATAAGAGAAGACTATATTTTGCACAATCAATCTACTTGATAGATGGAAATTCTAATATCATTGAAAGTCGTAAGCAAGACAAAGATTCGAGCACACTGTTGAGAATTTCCTTATTTCTAAGAAGCTAGTATAGAAATATCAGAAAAAGGAGATACAGATAAGCATAAAGGAATTCTCAACTAGTACAAAGTTATATTGCATAAAGGGAGGGTGCGTCTCTAGAGCACAAGACTCCATAACTCTGCCACCCATCATGGCTGTAGTTTCACAAAGATAGATCTAAAGGATCAAATGCTCGCTTGTGTTTGAATCCTGGAGTTTCTACATAATCTTGAACTGTTGAGATGCTGTTTTGAAGCTTTTTGATAAGTTCAGAGGAGGTGTCAGCAGACTTGAATATTTCTCTTTGGAAAGGAGATATAAAAGTTTGATACACTCCTTCATCTAGAAATCCAAGCAAGTTGTGGAAAAAGTTATTGAAAATCAATAGACCAATAGGTTTGGTATGAAATTTCACTTCTGCCCAAGTAGCAAGAGTAAAAGCAGTCATTAAAGTTCCATATCCACCAGGAAGAACAATGAAAGCATCGCAACCAGATATCATTGCCATCAAGCAGTCATAAATTGAGAGAGTTATCATCAAAGTAGCAGAATCTTTGAAGTGAGATAAAAAGGAAGGATACTTCTCACCTCGATATCAAACCATTTAGCAGCCATTAAGAGGTTGTTAAAGAAAAAGATACTAGTCCCTCCATAAAGTATGTTGATCTTTTGTTTACCCAACTCTTTAACTAGTTGGCTTACAACATAGATGTTATGAGGGAATAGTACAAACCTAGAACCACCAAGAACGCACACAGTTTTGGTTGGTTGAAGAAGTTGGATACCTTGAGAAGACTCTGCAGTAGCCATTTATTATGAGGGATATTTGGCTATGAAGATAGATTCGCCTTTTAAAGAAGAAAAGTTCTGACAAGAAAGCAGTTTAGTCTTAAATGACACTTATCTGTCAGAAGCGATAAGATCTATATACAGTACATCGGTACTATCATGAACAATGTTGACAAACATGATCATTGGAAATAATATTTTCCAAACTATAGAGTTTTTCTTCATGTTTGAGAAAAAGCCATAAAGACATCAGTTCTCGATGCACATATCCACTAGAATGTGTATCAAGAATCTGTTGAATAGTTTGATCCAGAGATTCCTTACTCAAGCCATTTTTTATGAAAGTTATTTTATCTTCTCGATTATTTGAGACAATGCCCAAAGAAGTACAGCGAGTGTCACAGTTCCAACGAGCACATTTATAGCAGCCGCCTATCTTTTTGCTCTACGTTTCTTAGCAAAAGTGCTTCTACCCATACCTGTCAGATATTTGTATGCATTGGGATACTCGCCAGATACATGAACTTTTGCTTCAATCAACCATCTTATATCATTTGGGATATTATTGAGCATAAGTACTCTTAACCTTTCTATTCGAGCTCGATAAATTCTCTTTATGATATTAAGAGGGAGAAAGGAATAGAATTTTCGGATTTTTAGCAGTGCTAATCAATTGGTGAATTCAGACCATTGCTGAAGAAGATTAAAGGATTACCAAGTTGGTTTATAG